AGCGAGTCATGTGCCCTGAGCACCGGGAGCACAGCACCGCCCCCACGAGTGTGACGCATGTGCGGCTCCGCCCCCAGGCCTGCAGGATATGCATGGCCCCGAGAGCCTGGCAGGGCCGGCCCGAGCCATTCATGTGCCCTGAGCACCGGGAGCACAGCACCGCCCCCACGAGTGTGACGCATGTGCGGCTCCGCCCCCAGGCCTGCAGGATATGCATGGCCCCGCCCCCGGGTGCCTGGCGCATGTGTGGCACCACCCCGGGCGCACGGAGCATGTGCGATGCCGTCCCTGCCCGGCTCGGCAGCCCCGTGTGGCGCCCCCTACAATGGGGAGCCCCAGGCAGTAGCCCAGTTGGCCCATACCTTGGGCCGGCTCTGTGACCTGGGCTGAGGCCTGTGAGAGAGGGTGGGTTCGGGCCCCCCCTACCACCCAACCGTTTATTTTGTGGACAGCCCCGAGCGAGGGTGGACCACGTAAACCGTGCGTTGCGGTGGCGGAATAGGGTCGCCAGATTAGTGGTGGAAGCTGTTGAGACCGTGTACCAGCGAACGGCAAATAGGCAGACACAGCCGTCCAGACAGAGAGGAGGAGGAGGAGGGATAGCCCCGTTCCTTCACAAGCATGAGCAAGTCTAATGCTAGTAGGCTATTATCCATTAGCTTCTTTTATTTTTGTTGCAGTATCGAACAGTTCTCGTCCCAGTGGTAAAATCTTCAGGCTTTCCGAAGATGCCAGGGAATTCTCTCAGCTTCATTTACTTTGTACCTGACGATGAGAATCCTGAAATTCAAAGGGCTGTGCTACTTGAGATTACCCCGTCTCCTCAAATGACCTACCGGACCCTGCCAGGGACCAGCAATGAAATGAATGTCTTGGGGATTGTTATCTTCTCTGCTACAATAGGTAATTGCCAAATACAGAGTCAGATTTCATGATGCATTCTGACCATGGGAGGTATTTAATTATGGAGGCGTCCTGGCAGCTCCATAATCAAGGGTGCATTGATTCATACTTTATTTATACTTAACAAGGAAGTGTTTCCTGTCCATGTATTCCTGGTGCAATATGCATTGTGTGAGAATTTACAAGCAAATCTATTCATATGGGTGATAATGATTTATAACAGGCTCTTTATTGAGTTTTAAAAATAATTTTGTAATATTTTTGGGACTCCAAAAAACCAGCCAAACTTTTCATTTGATGAAAACTCATTAAAAAAGGGTGAACAGGCTACATTTGGAAACTATTCATCATGAGTAAACAAAGTTATCAAAAATCATTACAGACTACTAATGGGAATTCTGGGAATTCTCACAGGCCTTTGTAAACTTTTCAGCGCAGGAAGTGATTTTATTCTGTGTTTGTAACTTAACAGAGCTAGGCCATCACATGACAGCAAATGCTGGAAGGCAGATTGTGGTTTATATTATAAATGAACAAGGAAGAAAAGATTCTGGATTTTAAGTGCGAGAGGTGAAGAAGGTAAGATGGGTTAATGATAGCAGGACATTGGATGTTGTTGCACGCACTGTGGTCGAAGATGAAGCTGCAGGTGAAAAGCAGATCAGTGGAGCAGTACAGAGAGGACAGACTAGGAGGACCTGAGATCCGAGATGTAAGTGGAGCACAAAGATGTAGCAAGGGACAGAAGTCCAGTTCAGAGATTTAAAGAGACAGAGGTGATGTGATCAGAGAGGAAGTTGACTGAAGACCTGTGGTGTTTCAAAGAGACCGAAGGGGAAGACAGGAGAAGAGAAGGTGGCAGTGACCAGTAGAAAATCCTGTTGAGAGTCTGTGGGTTATGTTTAGAGGTGGGAGCAACAAGGGTGATATTATGGTGGGTGTGGATGAGGTAGATGAGGCTTTCTTGAGATAACTAACAGAAGCTTCCAGCTCAGTGGGGGAGGGAGAGCTCAGTGGTTTGTGCATTGGCCTGCTAAACTCAGGCTTGTGAGTTCAATCCTTAAAGGGGCCATTTATGGATCTGGGGCAAATCTGTCAAGGATGGTACTTGGTCCTGCTCTGAAGACAGGGGACTGGACTTGACCTGACCTTTCAAGGTCTCTTCCAGCTCTATGAGATTAGATATATCTCCATATATTATTGGCCCTGGTTCTTATAGGAGACTTGAGTCATAGAATCCTAGGCTATGTCTACACTCGTGGCTTCTTGCGCGAGTAATATGCAAATGAGGCTAAGCGTGGAATATTGCTGAGACTCATTTGCATACCTAATGAGCCACCATTTTTTTCAGAAGAGGCTCTTGCGCAAGAAGGAGCGTCTACACTGCCCCTTCTTGCGCAAGAAAAACCCTCTTGCTCAATGCCGTTACACCTATTTCTTGACACTCATTTGCATACCTAATGAGCCACCATTTTTTTTCAGAAGAGGCTCATGCGCAAAAAGGAGTGTCTACACTGCCCCTTCTTGCGCAAGAAAAACCCTCTTGCGCAATGCTGTTCTTCCTGAAAAGTAATAGGTGTAACGGCATTGAGCACGAGGGTTTTTCTTGCACCAGAAGGGGCAGTGTAGACACGCCTTCTTGCGCAAGAGCCTCTTCTGAAAAAAATGGTGGCTCATTAGGTATGCAAATGAGACTCAGCGATATTCCACGCTTAGCCTCATTTGCATATTACTCGCGCAAGAAGTCGCGAGTGTAGACATAGCCCTAGGGTTGGAAGAAACCTCAGGAGGTCATTAAGTCCAGCCCCCTGCCCAAAGCAGGACCAATCCCAACTAAATCATCCCAGGTTTGTCAAGCTGGGACTTAAAAACCTCTATGAATGGAGATTCCACCACCTCCCTAAGTCACCCATTCCAGTGTTTCACCACCCTGCTAGTTTTTCCTAATAGCCACCCAAGACCTCATGGTGACATCTGTTGGGAGACCAGTACAGCAGTGCACAGACAATCCGGGAAGATTTGGAGAATGTTGAGGACAAATTCCTGGTACAGGTGCTGAAAGAACCAGTCAGGGGCCGTGCATTGCTTGACCTGCTCTCACAAACATGGAAGAATTGGTAGGGGACGTTGATGTGGGAGGCAACCTGGGAAGCAGTGAGCATGAGATAGTTGAGTTCAGGATCCTGACCAAAGAAAGAAAGGACAGCAGAAAAGAAAGATAAGACAACAGACCCTGGACTTCAGACTGCCTCAGAGAACTGCTGGGCAGGATCCCCTGGGATGCTAACATGAGGGGGAAAGAAGTCCAGGAGAGCTGGCAGTATTTTAAAGAAGCCTTATTGAAAGTGCAAGAACACACCCTCCCAATGTGCGTAAGAAAAGCAAATATGGTAGGCGACCAGTTTGACTTAACAGTGAAATCCTTGGTGAGCTTAAACACAAAAAGGAAGCTCACAAGAAACTTGGACAGATGACTAGGGAAGAGTGTACATATGGGCTTCGTCTAGACTACATCCCTTTTTCGTAAAAGGGATGTAAATTAGACGTATCGCAATTGCTAATGAAGCGGGGATTTAAATCTCCCCCGCTTCATTAGCATAAAAATGGCTGCCACTTTTTTCGGCACAGAGCTTTGTCGGAAAAAAGCACCAGTCTAGACGCTGATCTTGCGGAAAATAAAGCCTTTTCCGAAAGATCCCTTATCCCTCTATGAAATAAGGGATAAGGGATCTTTCGGAAAAGGCTTTATTTTCTGCAAGATCAGCGTCTAGACAGGCGCTTTTTTCCGGCAAAGCTGCGTGCCGAAAAAAGTGGCAGCCATTTTTATGCTAATGAAGCGGGGGGGGAGGCATGTTGGTCAAGCATTCAGGGGTGTAAGCCGCGTCTAGACTGGTGCTTTTTCCCGGAAAAGCTCCGTGCCAAAAAAAGTGGCAGCCATTTTTATGCTAATGAAGCGGGGGAGTAGCCATGTTGCTCAAGCATTCAGGGATGTAATCAGGAACGCCATGGAATTGCAGCTAACAAGGGATGTGAAAATAACCATAAAGGTTTCTACAGGCATGTTAGCAATAAGAGGGTGATCAGGGAAGATGTGGGACCCTTACTGGATGAGGGAGGTAACCTAGTGACAGATGATGTGAGAAAAGCTGAAGTACTCCATGCTTTTTTTGCTTCTGTTTTCACAGACAAGCTCAGTTCCCAGACTACTGCACTGGGTAGCACAGTATCGGGAGGAGGTGGGCAGTCCTCAGTGGGCAAAGAACAGATCAAGAACTATTTAGAAAAGCTGGACATACACGAATCCATGGGGCCAGATCTAATGCATCCAAGTGTGCTGAGGGAGTAGGCTGATGTGATTGTAGAGCCATTATCTTTTAAAACTCGTGGCTATCAGAGGAGCTCCCAGATGATTGGAAAAAGGCAAATGTAGTGCCTTTTTAAAAAAGGAAGAGGTAAAATCTGGGAAACTACAGACCAGTCAGCCTCACCTCCGTCCCCAGAAAAATCATAGAAGGGATCCTCAAGAAATCCATTCTGAAGCACTTGGAAGAGAGGAAAGAGATCAGGAATAGTCAACATGGATTCACCAAAGGCAAATTCATGCCTGACCAACCTGATTGCCTTCTATGACAAGGTAGCTGGCTCTGTGAATATGAGGAAGGTGGTGGATGTGATATACTTTGACTTTAGTGAAGCTTTTGAAATGGTTTCCCACAGTATTCTTGCCAGCAAGTTAAGGAAGTATGGATTGGATAAATAGGCTGTAAGGTGGAGAGAAAGCTGGCTAGATCGTCAGGCTCAGTGTCTGACTGGTGGTTGGTATCAAGCGGAGTGCCCCAAGGGTTGGTTCTGGGGCCGGTTTTGTTCAACGTTTTTATTGATGAACTGGCTGAGGGGATGGATTGCACCATCAGCATGTTCGCGGATGACACTAAACTAGGGGGAGAGGTAGATATGCTGGAGATTAGGGATAGAGTCCAGAGTGACCTAAACAAATTGGAGGATTGGGCCAAAAGAAATCTGATGAGATTCAACAAAGACAAGTTCAGAGTCCTACATGAGGAACGGAAGAATCCTAAATACTGTGACAGGCTGGGGACCGACTGGCTAAGTAGCAGTTCTGCAGAAAAGGGCCTGGGGATTACCGTGGATGAGAAGCTGGATATGAGTCAACAGTGCGCCCTTGTAGCCAAGAACAAACAGCATATTGGGGTGCATTAGTAGGAGCACTGCCAGCAGATCTAGGGAAGTGATTATTCCCCTTTATTCAGCACTGGGTGAGGCCACATCTGGAGTATTGTGTCCAGTTCTAGACACAAACACACATTACAGGAAGTATGTGGATTCACTGGAGTCCAGCAAAGAGTAACAAAAATGATTAGCGGTCTGGAGCACATGACTTACAAGGAGAGGCTGAGGGATTTGGGCTTATTTAGCATACAGAAGAAAAGAGCGAGGGGGGATTTGTTAGCAGCCTTTAACTACCTAAAAGAGAGTTCCAAAGAGGATGGAGAAAAGCTGATTTCAGTAGTAACAGATGACAGAACAAGACACAATGGTCTCAAGTTGCTGTGGGGGGAGGTCTAGACTGGATTAGGAAAAATTATTTTATTGGGAGGGTGGGGAAGCACTTGGAAGGGTTTCCTGGGGTGGTGGTGGAATCTCCATCCCTAGAGTTTTTAAGTCCCTGCTTGACAAAATCCTGGCTGGGATGATTTAGTTGGGATTGGCCCTGCTTTGGGCAAGGGGTTGGACTTGATGGCCTCCTCAGCTCTCTTCCAACCTTATGATTCTCTGATCTAGGTGAGCTCATGGACCAGGGAAGATAGAGGAAATGGTATATTTGCTTATAATAAAGGGGAATAACTGACAGGATGTGGCCTAGGGACTGCAAATGGGATGAAGGAAGGAGAAGTAGACAAAGCTGTGAAGCTGGGTGAGGGGAAGGAGGGTGGAATTGTCACGAGGGGTAGAGAAGGGAGGTAGCAGAGAGGGACCGGCAGGAGGAAAGGTCTGTTCAGTGTTGGAATGACTGTCATATGGTGACTGGACCTCTGGAAGGAGATGGCAGACTGGACACAGAGGTAGGCCCTCCATACAGTCATACCTTCAAAATTCAAGCAGACATCCACCTTGGACTCTATTGGCCTCATGACCAGCAGCATTTGCTCACTATGTCAAGTATCAGAGGGGCAGCCGTGTTAGTCTGGATCTGCAGACAAGGAATCCCGTGGCACCTTATAGACTAACAGATGCATCTGACGAAGTGGGTCTTTGCCCACGAAAGCTTCTGCTCCAATACATCTGTTAGTCTGTAAGGTGCCACAGGACTCCTTGTCGCTTTTGCTCACTATGTGTTTCTCTTGTCTTCAGATATTGAGCGATGCCTTCTGCAACCAAGCGGGGCTGGCCATGCGATCTGAACATGCATTGGAATTGGGGCGTAGTTGAGTAGTTGCTTTCTTTGATTCTTCAAGTACAAAAGAACCTAACTGGTACACAAGCTAATTAAGCCCAGTGTGCCCCCTCCCCCATGCTAGAGCAGCTGGCTGGGTTCATGGGAAAAGGGAGAAAGGGAAATAACTAACTTTCCTGCCCTCTCCAAGCCACAACTCCTGAAATAACAAAATTGAAGTAGCATGTCCCCACTACGGGGAGCCTTGAAATTAGTCTGAGGCAGGCTCCATTATTGTGGATGTGCCACCTCGACTAGAGCCTCAGGAAGCACTGGGCAGTAATTACTTCGAATGACTCTGGGAAGTAGCAGCAGCAGAGCATCCCGCACTACCGCTATTTCAAAATACGTGTTATTTCCCGAGGAAAGCAGGAGTACAGATTTCGAAATGACCATCCCGTTATTTCAAAATAATAGGCTTGGTAGTACGGATGCTCCACTTATTTTGAAATGAGGGGGGTTATTTCAAAATAATTCCCTAGTGTAGACCAGGGATAAATGTCCTTATGCCCCTCCATCTCCATACAGAGCAGGACCATTAGACTTTCAGTTTCTTCTTACCACCTATAGATGCTTTGCATGGGAGGGTCTGGGGTCTACCCACCTAATTAGCAAAGCCAGGCCTCTGCACCACTGGACAGCCATTCATTTTCCCACGTGTGACTGCCCAGGTGTGCACTTTAGACAGAATTATCCACAGACCACCTGAATGGAGCTTATGGAACACTGCTTGTCCACTTGAGAAACTCTGCAGTAGGGTTTGTCATTACATAATCAGACTAAACAAAATACAGGACTGTGTAGCACTTTAAAGACTAACAAGGTGGTTTAATAGGTGATGAGCTTTCGTGGGCCAGACCCACTTCCTCAGATCAAATAGTGGAAGAAAATAGTCACAACCATATATACCAAAGGATACAATTAAACAAAAAAATGAACACATATGAAAAGGACAAATCAAATTTCAGAACAGAAGGGGGATGGGGGCGGGGAAGTAAATGTCTGTGAACTAATGATATTAGAGGTGATAATTGGGGAGCTATCTTTGTAATGGGTAAGATAATTAGCGTCTTTATTCAAACTGAGAGTAAAGATAATCAGATAATCAGACTAGGCATTGTCACATGCTCTTAGGCAAATACAGTACTGTGTCAGATGTTTGACTGCATGCATGTGTTCTCTCTGTGTGCTGCACTGGTTCTGGCCAGGTAGCCTATACAACAGGATCCAATCGTACAGCCAAATGACCACAAGATTCATTAAGGTGTGAAGGCACCAGGCCAGGTATATTGTCGACAAAGCACAGGAACAGCACCTGGCAGACTCTACATGGATAGTGATAGAAATGTAGCCGTGTTAGTCTGGGGTAGCTGAAGCAAAATACAGGACAATGTAGCACTTTAAAGACTAACAAGATGGTTTATTAATAACTAATAAACCATCTTGTTAGTCTTTAAAGTGCTACATTGTCCTGCATTTTTCTACATGGATACTAAGACATATATGCCCTTGATAATGGATGCAGCTCAGTTCCCCCTGGGCTGGCTGAAAGGTTAAGGCGAGATATGCCACCATTTATAGCCTGAGACAAACAATCTGGGATAAACAATTTACGTATCACTTTGTGCATTTCATGACATGTCTGTTACCTCCCCTTGTACTTTCCTCCTGCCGTGTCAGATATAACATTCCTATTCACTGTCTGCCTTTGTGCTTTCCCTCCTGATATTTCAGACAAAATGCCACTTATTCATCACTTTTGTCAAACCACTTTATCATGTGTTAGATTGGGGTGTTCTTGTACTGGCCTACCGGAACATGGTTACGTGTTCCATGTGTTTTAGCAATGCTGGCAGTACTGGTGCCGAGTTCATGAACCAGACAGTGGCTTGCAAGCAAGCATCTGCTTTCAACAGGGCCTGACTGTTGCTTGCAGCATAACTTTTGCTCATGTTGATTCAGGCCTCTGGCCTTGCATCAGGCCCTCTTTCTACTATACGTACTATAATAAAAATGCAGTGTAGTCCATTTCAATTAAGAACAGGAACAGCTTAGCCTGTTGCATTGGGGGCAGTATTAATGACCTTTGGTGGGTCAGTGCCCCAGGAAATTGGTCATTTTGTTATTACCAAATAGGAGCAGGAACGGTAGTCGACTGGCCCCTAGAAGTCACTGCCTGTTGGTGGTGAAGCAGGCCTACCAGTTCCCTGTCCAAAAGAAGGGGCCAGATCATAGACTTCTCTGTAATTTGAAGTCTTTAAACCATGCTTTGACTTGTCACTCAGTCATAGATTGGGGGGTCCCCCTCAGGAGTGGGTCGGGGAGGTTCTGTAGCCTGTGCTGTGCATGAGATTAAACTAGATGATCCTGATGGTCCCTTCTGACCTTACAGCATGTGAGTCTTTCATATGCCTGATTTATTGGGGAAGGATTACATGAATTTAGGGAAGGTGGGGAGGAGACCGGGGGGGGGGGGGAATAAGTTCAAATACATTTCACAAGTGTCTATAGCTTGTTGTATCTTTCTCCCCCTGCCTAGTGTCTGACTTGTTTACTTTGGGTTGTCTTCACTGCAGCAGTAGCTCAAGGTGTAACTCAAGTGTTGCTCCTAAACTGACTCCCAGAAGTCTGTTCTCAGAAGAAGTGGTGGGGGAATGACACTTGAGAGCTTCTGATGCTAGAGCAAATAATGCAGTGGAGATGCAGCCACTCTGCTGCTGACCCAATTGATCCCTGCAACTTGAGTGGTATTTTACCATGTGGCTGCTCTCTCTTGAGCAAGGTTAACTAGAGAGGAGATGACTTGAGAAGATAGCTCCAGCTAACTGCACAGTAAAGACAAACCTGGGATTATCAGTTCCACCTTGTGTTTGTGTAGCACTTAGTACACTGGGGCCCTGTTCTTGATTGGTCCCTAGGCCCTGTTGTAATAATTATGAATAATAATAATAGAAAGGGCATGGTTGTTTATCTCAACCAGAAGTTTGCTCCTATGTTGTGACGATCGGTGACTGAAGGTCCTTTTCATGTTTAATAATGGGAGTTACTGTGTCTGGTTGCAGGTCTCCTTCTAGGGAAGATGGGTGAGCGTGGAACTCCGTTAGTTAACGTGTGCCAGTGTCTGAATGAGGCTGTTATGAAAATTGTCTCCATTGCAGTTTGGTGAGTAAATAATTCCGATTGGCTTGATTTGGATGTTTTTGTACCTGACAGTTAAGCTCAGTTTCAGTTACATTGCTACAAAAAAGAAAAGTTCAGGAACTTTAAATTCAGGATGTTAAACTATTCTGTAGTCAACATAAAAACAAAACATCTGAAACTTCTCAGGAAAGGTGCCTATTCCCCCTCTTACATCCAAGAGTTAATCATTCTTATTTCGAATCATTCTGATTCCAGTCAGGGCTGTGATGGCAGTTCATGTAGACATGTCAGAGCTAGTGTTTATCTAACTCACTTAGGGTATGTCTACACTACCCTCCTATTTCGAAATAGCGGGGTAATGTAGGCATACCGCAATTGCAAATGAAGCCCGGGAAATTCAAATCCCGGGCTTCATTTGCAATTGCGGTATGCCTACATTACCCCGCTAGTTCGAACTAGCGGGGTAATGTAGGCATACCGCAATTGCAAATGAAGCCCGGGAAATTCAAATCCCGGGCTTCATTTGCAATTGCGGTATGCCTACATTACCCCGCTAGTTCGAACTAGCGGGGTAATGTAGGCATACCGCAATTGCAAATGAAGCCCGGGAAATTCAAATCCCGGGCTTCATTTGCAATTGCGGTATGCCTACATTACCCCGCTAGTTCGAACTAGCGGGGTAGTGTAGACATACCGTTAGGGTATGTCTACACTACAGGACAAGGTTGAATAAATATGCAGCTTCAGCTGCGTTAATTGCAGAGCTGAAGTCAAAGTACCTTAACTCAATTTTTGACTCTGTCCACATTTCAGGAAGTCAAAGGGAGAACACTCTCCCTTCAACTTCCCTTATTCCTTGTGGTAGCAGAACTATCCTCATCTACCAAAGCGCCCCTCTCAGTTCGAATTAGCTGTCTTAATTACACCTGCTAATTTGAACCCTGGCAGATCGACAGTGGCAGCTTCAATCTTCTCTGTAGTGTAGACATATCCTTAGGTGCTGGTCACAGCAGAGCTGCAGCAAGTGGTAAAAGCCACTCAGAATCCTGGGCAAGTACTCAAGGAGCTAGTCCACCTGCTGCCATATCTTCCCTACTACTGGTGACCTAGCTAGATTAAAGCAATCACATCCTGTGATGAGAGTGTAGACATGGTCTATGTTATTGGTTCACATTAACTGTAGTTAGAAAACTCAGATGAAACCTTGATTTGGCCACTTGCACTAGAATTCAGAAAACCAGACTCTGTGGGCTGGGGAGGACCAGTATGCAGTCATTAAATCAAAGAGTGGTTCATAAGGGGCCCAATTGAAGTTGCATGGGCAGCCTTAATTCTGGTATTACCTGTTACCTGCTATTACCTCACCCTAACTTTTGAGTGCTTGACTTAGTATTCTTAATGGTCTTTTAATATAGGAGTTTGTGTCTTTATGTTTTTTAGATATGTATAACTTTGTAGACTCTTGTGCACCGGCACTTGTTTTAAATAATTGAATTGGGCAGATGTATGCTTTCTAAAGCATGCAGTTGCTGACATGTAGTGTTTAAAATGCTATGAAACTTTACAAAAATGCCCCAGGCCATTGAACCACTAATTAACACCCCTTTTAGCACTCACAAAACTGTTCCAACCCTCCAAAGTAGCCTGCACAAGTTGCAGCATTTGCCGTTCATTCATTGTCATTTTTGACTGTTGTCCTGACTCTTCGGCATATCATATTTTAAACCCACAGCTCCCAAGTGTGAATTGAAATCTAGCTTCCAACAATAGAAATGTTGCTTCAAGCTCTACTAAAGAGTTGAAGCTACTGGTTCTCCCTAATACGAAAAACATTAACTAGAAAAAAAAAGATTAATTCTCATACCTCAGAATATAAAAGGAAAGTGAGTTTGTCTCAAGAGAATCTCTCATAGATTTTAAGTTCAGAAGGGACCATCATGATCACTTAAGCTGACCTGCTGCAGCTTGCAGACCACAGAACCTGACATGCCCACTCCTGCCATAGGCCTCTGGTTAAGTTACTGAAGTTCTGAAATAATGATTTAAAGATTTCAAATGACAGGAAATCCGTTTTACACTACTTTTAACCTGCAAGTGACCCATATTCCTATGCTGCAGAGGTAGGTGAAAAACTATGGTGATCAGTTAGACTCTGAGCAAGTAAACAAGACCCACTAGGCAAACACCTGGGAAAGAATTCTCTGTAGACTTATAGGCCTCCTCATCTGGTCTCCTGTCTGACCACATGGCATAACATTGTGCAGTTGGTTGGATTAGTAATGTGGAATTTTATACCTTTCTCTGTTTACACAGCATTTGGCCTCATCTGGAGACACTCTTGTGGGACAAGATGGTCTTCTCTGTTATGACATATGCTATGCGCCTATCCCAAATGGATGAACTTTTACTGTTCTTATTACAGGTACTTCCCATTTGGCATTGTGTTTCTCATTGCTGGGAAGATTTTGGAGATGGAGGATCCGGCTATGATTGGAAAGAAATTGGGACTCTATGCCATAACAGTGGTGACAGGGCTAGTCATCCATGGACTTATACTCTTGCCTTTGCTTTTCATACTCATTACCAGGAAAAACCCCTTTACTTTCATACAGGGAATACTGCAAGCTCTACTGATTGCTCTCGCAACATCATCCAGGTATGGCAAGACGGTCTGGTGGTTGTTGTCATAGATAGTCCATTATTCCAGCTGGAGGGAAGCTGGTTTCATTATTCAAGTCTATCTTGTATATAAATGTTTTCTTCCTATATACTGCTTATTATACAGCACCCCTCTGTTGGAATAAGCTATGCAATTTCCACTATGCAAATTGTGTATCTTATTCTGAGTTTAGGTCGAAAGAGCTTATTTTGAAATATGGCGCTATGTAGACAGTGCTAAATTTCAAAATAAGGCACTATTCCGACAAATCCTTAACCCTCATGGAATAGCATGCCTGCTATTTTGGGAAATAGCGGGCGCTTTTAAAGATGTGGCATTGCAATTTTGGGATACTTCTGGTATCCCAAGATAGTGATGCAGTCTAGACATACCCTCACTGAGCTTGTTTACCAAATCCTACTGGCGTCTTAGTTTCAGTTGGCTTTGCACATGCCCGCAACCTCAGCTCTGACGCCACTGACAGCTAACAAGCTTCTCGGACCCCTTGCTTGCACCTGAACCCCACTGGGATTCTCAGACAAGGTGTCCCTCCAGTGAGGCCCGATGCAGTAGTTGTGCTCTGAGCATGACTAACCTGTGCAAAACATAGTTGGGGTGAGCCATTGGGCTGCGAGAGTTCGTTTGAGAACACCCAATAATTAGGGCCATGGGAGGCTCCCAGGTGAGTGCTCTAACCACTGGGAAATTGCCTATAATGGGGATGGGGGCATCTGTCTCTTGCTTTGGAGAGAAAGGACTGATGTGGTTTAGGTGTCCAGCACCAGGAGGGGGTTCACAGCTTCCCATTCATCATGCTGGCTTCGGACAATCCCTTTCTCAGGCACTTTAGGCTGAAGACCAGCAGAAAGACCTGGAAAAGTGAGTCTCGGAGTCCAGATCAACTGACTTCGTCTCCTAGGGCTCCTGGGTTGAAAATGGCAGTGTAGATGTTTGGGCTGTGGCTGGAACCCAGGTTCTGAAACCTAGCAAGGGGGGCAGGTTTCAGCCCCCTTGCAGGAACATTTGCACTGCTGCCATGGGGCTTGTTTGCTGTGTGGACAAATCCATTGTATGGGGAGTCTGAGGCTGAGGATTCCACCAGGTGGCAGAACACCTCAGAGCTGGACACTGCACTGACAAACGCCCACAGGTGAAACATACAAAAGCACCTCTGTGATTGCAGTGTCCAACGTGGACATCAGGGTATGTCTACACATTGCAAACCAGGTCTGTGGCACCCATGCTTATGGACTAGGTATTGCCAAGCCTGTGCTTGAGCATCCACACTGCATTATAAACCCGGGTTTCCATTGCTGGACCCAGGTATCACAGCAGAGCTGCACTGCACAAGCCTTCTGATTCAAGTCTGTGGCTCAAGCTGCAGATACTGCAGAATGACAGACGTGCATGAGTCACAGGGGGACTCTGGCTCTGACCCACCCCAGTGGGTCCTTGGGCTATGGTCTCTGAGTGCTGGTTAATCTGAGTCAGACTGAGTGTGGATGGATGGGGCAGTTGGGCTCACTCAGCTTTATGAGAAGATCTGGGAACCCTGCTCCTCCAGCAGCCTTCAGCTGCCATGGTGACGCCAGTGGCAATGGTGAAATTGCAATTTCTTTGCAATGCAGCTCAGCAACCCTGCCCATCACCCTGAAATGTCTTCTGGAAAACAATGGGATCGACAGACGAGTGGCACGATTTGTCCTTCCTGTTGGCGCAACCATTAACATGGATGGGACTGCACTGTATGAGGCAGTAGCTGCAATCTTTATTGCTCAGGTCAACGAGTATGATTTGGACTTGGGACAAATTATAACTATAAGGTAAATACATTTCTTCCTTTATTTATGCTAAGCCTGTTCTCTTTCTTTCCTGCCCAGATCTACATACAGCTTATCACAAGATCTACCAGACGTCCCACTCAACATTGGTCATTTTATTACATGTTTAAGCAACATGTTTTTGGACACAGAGAAAGCCTAGAAGTGTCTGACCACTTCTTACCCGTTGCACTGTCTTTGATGCCCTGTAGACTCTAGCAGGGGTTGGCAGCCTACAGCACATGAGCCGATTTTGAGTGGTATATGCGGTGGGAGCTCAGTGCCCCCCCAATCCCCTGGCAGTGGCTGGAACCTTGCAGCTGTGCAGGTGCAGGCTGGAGAACCAGCTCTGGCTTTCTGCTGAAAGGGGAAGCAGGGGGGGGGGGAGAGCCCTG